AGGTTTGATTCCCAGCACCCACATGGCAGCTATGGACCGTCCTTAACTCCAGTTCCAGGGGAATCTGATGCCGTCTTCTGACCTCTGCAGCATTGCACTACATGGGTGCACTCACATACATGCAGGCAATACACTCATACACATAAAATAAAAATAATAAATTTTTAAAAAGACTAAAATAATAAATCTATAAACAAAAGGCAGAAACCACAATATTTTATGAGTATTCATATATTAGTGATACTTATTAAACAAGTGCTCAGCAGTATCAACTCCTAAATGTAAATAAAACTCAGCCATTCCAGATGAAAGTTCTCACTTCTACATGTATCAATGAAAAGTATGCTGACCTGGCAGTGAAAACATGGTAGGAAGCCTAAATATCAGTAGCCCCTTTTCCGTTGGGTGTGCTTGGGACCCAGGTATTTGTCTCACAATCCTTAGTCCTATCCCTTCACAATGGCCTTTATTCCTGATTCTAGATTGTTGCTCTACCATTGGTGCTGATCACCAAGAATTCAGGACTGGCCAGTCTGCCTAGAACCAGTTCTACTACCACCCTGGGAAGGAAGAAGACTGCTCCCCAAGGTTCACAGGAACTTTTACCAATGGTGGTCACCAGCTCTTTGACTAAGGCCCAAACATCAAGTCAGCTGCTAAAATTCCCAGGGCTTCTCTGGTCTCTCTGTTTTGAGTAACACTGTGTAAGAGCTGTTTTGCTGAGTATGTAGTTTAGTGGTAGAGTGCTTGCCTCACATGCTTAAGGAAGGCCCTGAGGCTCATCCCTAGCAAACTCAAGAGTTGTTTTACTAATATTGCCCCTTGGTGCCAAGCACTGTGCTAAATGCACTACATGTGATCTCTTATGTCATCGATCATGATTTGACCTTTACTCTTCTGCTGTGTTTTATTATGATGTGCCCATTTTCCAAGAAATGCCCTATATATACTTCCGAGGCAAAACAGCAGGACATTGTACTTACACCTCCTCATCGTCTGTGTCATCTTACACTTTGGTACAGGACCCATCTTTCTAAATATTTTATCTCTTTGAGCATGTGATGTATTTCCAAAAAATAACCTTTCTTAGTCACTTGGCTCCAAAAAGCATTCCCAGTTTTATGTCCTGCTGCTCCCAGGCCAGGCCACCCGGCAATTCACCATTCCCAGGGTGAAGATAGCATTCTTTCACCTGTTCTGAAATGCCCTCTTGCTCCCTTTTCTCTCAGAGAAGAGTAATGGTTCAGAGTACAGCTGTGTTGACTGGCTCCAAAGGCAAAAGGCCTAGTTCTGCTGCTGCCTGCTGGATGACCTTGGACAAATCCCAGAGCCAAAACTAGGCTCACAGCAGCACCTACATACCTCAGAGGCTGTGCAATCAAAGGAGATGCTCTTATTGTCATTATTATTATTTCAAGTCCTAGTCTCTCTTGCTCATTCATGATACTTTTATCTTAACCACTATGGGGCAAACTAGTGTCTCTCTTTTCTTTGAATTCCCAGAAGCACTTTCGTTAAGGGTTAGGTGTTATTGCTATGGCTGTTTTCCCTCTATATTATCCAGATTGCTTTATTTTCTTCAAGTACAATGTGAGCTCCTTGAAAAGAGAAAAAAAGAAAAAAGAACCCGAATTGCAGCTTTTTGTGTGACTGAGGTCATTACACCTTGCTCTGGGACAAGGTGTAGGTTATTTTGGTTAGCTTCAGAGTCAACTGTGCACTTAAAACTACAGCTAGGGACCTAGGAGTGGGTGTGGGAGGGAGATTCTGAATAGAAACTCCAGATGGGGACAAAATTGAAAGTATTTAACCACCCTCCAACTCCTGTCACCCAAGATAACCTAGCAGTAGGTCATTTAAGCACCTTGTCATCATGTGTCCCAATCTCTCCTGTCTTCTTTCTCAAGACTTCAGCTGGTGTGGACGATCAAAGGTCAAGGACCAATGTCCTCTGTTCACACGGCTTGCCAAGGAATGTGGCTGCGCCTAATTACAGGACTGGAGAAAGTAGATTCAAGAATTCCAACTCCCAGCCTGCCACCTTGATTCCAATCTTGGGGAAAGCTTCAGGCTCACCCTTGTCAGAGTGGGCGGAAGGGGGCGGGGGATGGAGACCGGCCCGAGGGGCGGGGCGACATTGCTCCACCCCCGGAGTCTGGGCGGGGACCAGCGCCAGGCACCAGCTCAGCCCGACGTTGATCTAGGGTGCAGCGCAGGGAAGGAGTGCGTGCCCGGCTGAGGTTCGAAGGCAGGCGGCGAGATGAACCGGGTACCAGCGTTCCTGAGCGCGGCCGAGGTGCAGGAGCATCTCCGCAGCCCCAGCCTCCTCATCCCACCTCTGGAGGCGGCTCTGGCCAACTTCTCCAGCGGCCCGGATGGAGGGGTCATGCAGCCGGTGCGAACAGTGGTGCCTGTGGCCAAGCACAGAGGGTAAGTGCAGAAGGGACGGGTGGAAGAAAGAGTAAGAAGTCTCAGAGGAACGCGAAGGGTCGCGGTGGGAGAAAGGAGAAGAGGGCATGCTTAATCGCTGCTAATGTGCGCCCCTGTGCCTGTGCCAAGAGGGCGCTTTACAGGTGATATCTGTTGTAATTCAGCTTGCTCTCCTGGCAAGAGAGGTATTGTCATTCTAAAATTTTACTAGTTGAAAACTGAGACCTAGAGAGGTTAAGTGGTTGACTGGACCTTACACAACCAAGGGACAGAGCCGTGATGGTTTTCTGATGCAGAACCAAGGCTATGCGTCCTGCATGGGGTTGTGGGGGGCACCGGGGGATGGGGGACCTGGGGGACCGGCAGGCATCAGAGTGCCAGTAGAGCAATGATGGGGGAAATAGAAAGGAAGGAATATGAGGACTTCATAGAAGACTCCAGCATTGAGGGGAAATGAGGGGAAGGTGTTGAATCCCCCCCTCCCCGGCTCTCTCTCTCTCTCTCTCTCTCTCTCTCTCTCTCTCTCTCTCTCTCTCTCTTTCAAGGAGCAATTTTTTTTGCTCTCCAGTAATAACCCTCAATTATTTTCTTTCTATAAGTTGCCAAAAAAGCTTCCTGGGAGTCATGCCAGCCTACAGTGCAGCTGAGGATGCGCTCACCACCAAGTTGGTCACCTTCTACGAGGGCCACAGCACCTCTTCCACAGTCCCCTCCCACCAGGCTTCAGTGCTTCTGTTTGAGCCCAGCAATGGCTCCCTGCTGGCGGTGAGCAATCCTTCTTTCTCCTGGTGTAGAACAGGTCCCTGAGACACAGAGTGAGGCTTAGAAGTTAGTTCTCCAAAAGTACCAAAAAATAGCAAGTAACCAGGCACTAGAAACAGCAAAGGTGATCTGGGACAGCATATCTGTTTCTAGAACTGCTTGCAGATGTACAGCCCATCAGAACCCACTGCTGTCTAAAGTGTGTGACTGGAAAAATAATAACCTTGTTGTTCTTGTGTATGCTCTTGGCACATACTCAAATACTCCAAATGCACAGCTGGAACTAACCCAGTAGCTGAGAAAACATTTGTTCATCAAATCCCTCTCTGTGTGGAGAAGAGATGTCCTCTAACCTGTGGTGTCTTCTCCCGAAACGTATGTCAACATATAATCATGGTAAAGAGCTCCTGTTCACATTTACTCAGTGATGATGCTTGTGTCTTGCACAATTCTAAACATATTGCCTGTACTGTTCTCTTAATAATTAAAACCACCTAGGAGGTAGGTAGCATTATTACCCCCACTTCACAGATGAGGAAAGTAAGTCATTCCGCAGTGGTACTCAGCTTACCCCCATAATAAGAAGCAAGGCTGGACTTCATGCATCTTCAGACTGAGTCAACTATATACTCCCAGCCTGTGCTCATCCAGCGGTGAGCTACTACCATGCTATCCATGACAGTGAATCCCCCTTTCCTGGACCTAGGCCTTTCACCCTAGGTCGTAGGGCCTTGGATCTTTGCTGAGTCTGCTCAGAAGCTGCAGGATTCCATTCCTCACCTGTAAAAATGATAGTAAGCAAAGTTGTATAGCATAAATGGAGATCAATTCAAGTGGTGATTATCATCAGCCAGGCATAATGCTCAGCCCTCACTGTGCATTAGAATCTCCTGGGGAGCCTTTGAAACCATGGATAACTTGATCCCACTCATAGAGATTTGGTTCTCGGTTTTGTAGCACCAGGAATGGGTCCCAAGCCCTTGCACAGGATAGGCATGTATTCTACCACTGAGCTATATACCCCAAATCAGAGTCAGATTCAGTTATTCTCAAGGTGGTATCCTGGAATAATGTCTTTCCAAAGCTCCCCAGATGTGAAATGACAATCACATGCCTCAAGTTCCTCCTCAACTGGGGGATCTGAGAATCTGAGAGCAAGAGAACAAAATGGGCAATTATTGAGCGCACACCTTGTGCCCAGTGGCTTTCCCATGTGCGGGACTATTTAATACTGCCATGTCCCTCTGAACTGTTGGCATCATCATTGTTTTTACAAGCGAGGAATCCAGTGCTTAGAGACCAGTATTCAAAACTGCTTAGCTCCTGTGTAGATGAATCATATCCAAGTCTGACCCCAAGCCCTTGCTCACTGGATGTCTCTATAAAGCTGCCTAGAACTTCCTGTTTATAGCTGCTTCTCTGAATTTAAGTACTCAAGGGGGCCTACTTTCCTCACTGTCTCTTCTTCCTCCAAGGTCATGGATGGAAATGTCATAACTGCAAAGAGAACAGCAGCAGTGTCTGCCATTGCCACTAAGGTAAGGTGGTTGGCTATGCTAGCAAGGTCAGCTGGTAGGTGGTGGTGGAGGGAGAATTCAGATAACACAGCAAGTCACAACTGGCAAAAATGTAGCGAATAAGAGACTTCAGAGTGTGTGTTCTTGGGTAGGATGCCTGTATTAAACAGTATCCACCAACGCTTAAGATCCACTGTAGAAGAGGGGGCATAAAGATTGTAAAAGCCAGGGGTGGTGGATGACCACAAGGAAACAGTTTTCCAGGCTTCTGGGAAGTTGCCCATATGAACTTACAGCTACGGGGATAGTGTGCACAAGACCCATGCAAACTCAATCAGACAAAGGCCCAGCATGAAAGTCTGGAAATGAGCAGGAGGAGGAGACCTCAACCTTAGTTGAGGGGTTATTGGCAGTTGATTACTGCTGAGTGAGGGAAAGTTGATCTTCTCTAAAGAATGATGCTAGATAGGCTAACCAGGCTCCAGTAGATGAACTCACACTGGGAGACATCTGGGGACACAAACTTGACTCAATAGGTCTTAACATATATGACAGAATACATGAAATTTGGTGGGTGTGTATGGGGGGTTCAGATGGGGAGGGGGTCTAAATATAATTAAGATGTATTATATGAAATGCACAAAAATTCAATAAAAATATATATTGGGGGAAAAATAATTTAAAACTTGACCTCTCCAACTCCCAGGACTTCATTGTTGACCCTGTACCACATTTGGCCTAGTAAGACAGTATGATTGCATTCAAGGCTAGAGTTAATCCTGTACCAGAGACAGAGGCTGAGCAGAAATGGTCCATAGTGTCTTTACAAAGCTCCTCAAATGTGCAGTGGGAGTTGAGGACTCCTCACTGAGGGTGGGTTTCATAGCTGTTAGTTCTTTTCACTCTCTATCAAGTGCTTATCTGTTAGGCCTCTGTCAGCAAACAAAACAGTGACAGACACAGGACAGTCAGATAAATATTAAAAGTGAAGGAATTAGGGGCTGGAGAGATGGCTCAGTGGTTAAGAGCACTGATTGCTCTTGCAGAGGACCCGGGTTCAATTCCCAGCACCCACATGGTAGCTACAAACCATCCTTAATTCTAGTTCCAGGGGAATCCGAAGCCCTCTCTTGACCTCCTCAGCATTGCATGACTCGGGTGCACTCACATACATGCAGGCAATACACTCATACACATAAAATAAAAATAATAAATATATTTTTTTTTAAAAAAAGTGAAGGAATTGGGGAGGTGGGTAAAGTGCTTGTCAGGTAAGCATGAGGACTTGAGTACAGAGCTCCAGCATCCATGGTAAAAGCTAAGCAACAGGACTGGAGTGATGTCTCAGTGGGAGGATGCTTGCTGCAGAAGCATGTTTGATTCAGATCCCAGCACCCACATAAAAAGCCGGGTGTGGTCTCACATGCTCCTGTAACCCCAGAATTGTTGGTGGCAGGGGTAAAGACAGGAAGATCACTGGGACTTGCTGACTACCAGCCTAGCTCAGTAAGAGACCCTGTCTTAAAGGAATAAAATGGAAATGAATAGAGCAGGACCTCTTCCTCCAGCCTCTGTGAACGTGTGCACAGGCACGTACACCCACATGCACACATATGCACACACCACACTCACATATGCACTTACACGTGGGTGTGGGCATACACACATACAAACAAAAAGTGAGCAAGACAGCACACATCTGTAATCCCAGTGCTGGGGAGGCAAAGACAGAAAGCTCCCTAGAGCTTACTGGGTAGCCAGTCCAGCAGAATCTATAAGCTTCAGGTTCAGCAAGAGACCCTGTCTCAAAAAATAAGATGGAAGCCAGGCGTGGTGGTGCACGCCTTTAATCCCAGCACTGGGAGGCAGAGGCAGGCAGATCTCTGTGAGTTCAAGGCCAGCCTGGTCTACATAGTGAGTTCCAGGACAGCTGGGGCTACAGGGAGACCTTGTCTCAAAAAAGACCAAAAAAAAAAAAAAAAAAAGATGAAGAGTGACAGAGGAAAATGCCCAATGCCAATCTCTGGCCTGCATACACATATACACAGACACATGTGCATGCACACACGAACATCTGCATACATGCACAAAGTTATAAAGTATGATTTCATTTTTAAAAACAATTTAAAACAGCTCCTAATGCATTCATACTAATTATTAATATTAATAGATTTAATTATTTTATGATTAATGCTTATTAGCAAATAATTAGTACGTTAAGAGTTGTCTGAAAAACAAGCCAACAACAACCCCCAAAGTTCATATATTATGTTAAAAAGATGAAAATGAAACAGAATTTAAATATGGGGGTGGAGGTGTTATTTTCTTTTTTTGAAATAGGGATCTCACTATGTTGCCCAGTCTGGCCTTGAATTCTTGGGCTCAAGTGCTTCTCCTGCCTCAGCCTCCCAAACAGCTAGGCCTACAGGTAGACAGCATTATTCCTGATTAAGAAGGTCACACTTTAAATGGCCCACGAAAGACGTCCCTGCGGGGGTGACATCTGAGAGAAGACAGCAAGCAGCGCATGGCTGTGCAAAACTGGAGAAGTGGCTGAGCAGAAGGGCGAGCAAGTGACAGGGTGGTGTTGCTAAGCAGTGCAGAGGCATCCCTCAAAAAAGACCTGATTCCTCAAGCTGATAATGTACACCTGGGTTTTTCCCTGACATGTGCTTGTTCAGCAAGTATGTGAGTGTCTACCAAGTCCCAAGTCCTGTGATCAGTATAAAGCAAAGGATGCTGAGCAAAACAGACAGAGTAGCTGTCATCAGGAAATTCAAGACCCAGTGTGAGGAGCAGAATACTAATCCAGAGATTTTACTAGTAAATGTGAAATTAAAACTGTGATGTAAGTGCCAGAGCATCTTGATCTGGTATACAGAATTCAGTATAATGGTCATGGATATCTGAACTGCAATTTAGAGTATTAAGAGTTGCTCAGGAGAGGCAGAAGGGAGGTGTAACAGGTAGAGAAAATAACCTATGCAAAGGGCCTGGGGTTGAAGGAATAGCCTATGCCTGAACTAGACAGCAGGAAGTGCAGGACAGCATGGCATGACAGTGGCCTGGGCAGATGGAAGGGCCAGATCATATACAGCTTGGTGGATGCCAATGGAACATGAACTGTCAGGGTCTTTGTTTAAACGGGAAAGCTTAGCAGGCTCCCGTATGTGCTCTTAGCTTCCTGCATACTTAACAGGAAAGTAGAATGAAGCGCCTGCCACAAGTCTCATTATGACTGAATGACTCTTGTAAACACCTAACCATTTAAGTAAAAAGATATTGCCAGGTGTAGTGGTTCATGCCTATAATCCCAGCACTGAGAGACTGAGGCAGGAGGACTATGAGTTCAAGGCTAGCCTGGCCTACAAAGTGATTCACTGTCTCACCACCATCAGCAACAAAAAAAAAAACATTGGTCCTATGATGGCACAGGCCAGTAATTCCAGCCCCTTTTGAGGCTGAGTCAAGAGGATGGAAAATTCAAGGCCTCCCTGAGCTACATGGTAAGACCCTGTCTCAAATTTAAAAATAGAAAAAGGACTAGGGATGCAGCTCAGTGGTAGAGCATTTGCCTAGCATATGCAACACTCCATGTTTAATCCTCAGTGGGGAGAAAACAGGGAGGGAGAGAACGAGGAGAGAGGGGCGAGAAAGAGAAAGAGAGAGAAAAATCATAAATCATAATCTTGAAATAAATTAGCAAATAAGCCAACCAATCAGAATTACAGATTTAGTTTCAGAGACTGAAGATTCTTTTATAGAAATGAACAATTCTGAAGCTGAAGTATATGTCTGTGAACAGATTCATATTAACTGAAAACAAAAATAACAACTAAGGAAAATGTGATCCTCTTTATTGAATAAAAGCATAAGATTAAAGCTGGAGAGATGGCTCAGAGGTTAAGAGCATTGGCTGCTCTTGCTGAAGACCCAGGTTCAAATCCCAGAACCCACATGGCAGCTTAACAACTGTCCATAACTCCAGTTCCAGGGGATCTGACGCCATCTTCTGACCTCTGCAGGCATTACACAACATGGGTAGACATATACATGTAGGCAATACACTCATACACATAAAATAAAAACAATAAACTTTAAAAAACATAAGATTGTTGGTCTTGTGGATGCTGTCATTTTGCAGTCTTTCAACTTGAATTCATAGAACTGTATTTTATGACAGAGAATGGTGTCTCTGCTTCCGTTGGTGTATAGGAGAGATGAATGTTCCCTAATGTTCTAAGACCTTTTTTTGTAAGTAATTAATAGTTAAGAAGATTTCATTTCTTGAGATTGCACTGTGGGATTTCAGTCAGTGCCACTGCAAGGAAACAGGTGCAAGGAGTTCAAGTTTTGTTAAATGAAATAGAGAAAGGATGGAAGAGGCTCTGCCTGAATCCATATGGTCTGAGAAGCAGCTGATATCTTTCTCTGGAGTGGTAGTATACAGCAGGAGATGATTCTACCTTCTGTCGTCCTGGAACACTTAGCAATGTGTGGAGACATTTTTGATTGTTACAGCTGGAGAAGGGGAAGATGATAGGTGCTATGGTGTCTGATGGATAGAAATCAAAGATGCTATTAAGCATCCTGAAACTGCACAGGAAAGCCCTTTCCCCATCAAAGAATGGTTGGGGGTGGGGGAGGTAGCTCAGTGGGAAAAGTGTTTTCTGAGCAAGCATGAGGGCTTGAGTTTGGATTCCCACATAAAGCTGGACACAACAGTGCACTACAGAGAGTCGGGAGGTAGAGGCAGGAAAATCCCTGGAAGCTCCTAAGCTTCAAACAGGGAGGGGGTGGGAAGGACTTCCACTAGAGGCTGTCCTCTGACCTCTCTCTCTCCCTCTCCCTCTCTCTCAAACATACATACACACACACACACACACACTCACAAGATTTTTTTTTTTTAAAGAATGATCCAGCTTAACTTTCAGTAATGCCAAGGTAGAGAAACTCTACTTAACTTTAGTGGTTCCCAACTGGCATGCTCCCTTTCTATATATAGGACCACCTTAGTCCCCGGGGACCTTAAAGACCAGAATAAGGTAACAAGTCTATAAACAAATGCTGTAGAGTGGTAGATTCTGTCATAGAGGTCAGAAAAACTTCATTGAAGAGGGGTGGTTGACAAGAGTGGTCACCGAATTCCACGTTCATAAACAGACACCCCTAAGAGGTGTCAATGTCATGTTTAAGACAACACAGAGACTGAAAGCATCCACAGAGTGGGCTCGGCAAACATAGCTGAGAACTCTGGGAAGCAGGCCTCCAGGATCTTAGGGTGCTTACAGAAGCAGCCCAGGGTTCTGAGAAGTGGACGCTGCTTAGCAGGTACCTATGATGGCACAGCATGGGAGAAAGGACATGAGCTGCTGAGTGTGGAAGGTGTGGCTTTGAAGTATCATGGGGCCATTTAGAAGTGTAGAATATGGAACAAGTTACTTTGTCTTAGTAAAATGTAAAGGTGATAAGAATATAAAGTAATGATAGGAGTGGGGCAGTAACTCAGTTGGCGAAGTGCCTGCCACGGAAACATGAGGCCTGAGTTTGATCCCCAGCACCTCCATAAGAAACCAGGCATGGTGGTGTGCGCTTGTAATCCTAGTACAAGGGAGGTGGAGACAAGGCAGATCTCTTGGGCTCACTGACCACTTGCCTGACTGGAAGCCTCAGGTTCCACTGAGAGACTGTCTCAAAAAAGAAGGTAGATGGGTTAGCTCCTTAGGAACAACACCCCAGGTTACCTTGGTCCAACACACTCATGCACACATACACATGTGTGTGCACTTACCATACACACACACACACACACACACACACACACACACACACATGCACGCACACCAGGAGACACAGTGGCAAAGTGAGCCCATTCTATAAGGGCCCTTGTCCAGTCCACATGCGATAATGAGGGCAAAACATTGGCACATAGTAGGTGCTTGGTGAAGGCATCTTCCCCACTCTACAAGGGGAAGTTAAAACAAAATGACATCTCCTTGATGTCCATCAGCTCTTAGGGATAGCTGAAGTCACCTGACATTCAAACTATTTGTTTACACCTGACTGCCAGTGTCTTCCCTGACCTTTACCACCCTGTTTCTCTCAAATAGTTTCTGAAACACCCCAGCAGTGATGTGCTGTGCATCCTTGGGGCTGGGGTCCAGGCCTACAGTCATTATGAAATTTTCACAGAGCAGTTCTCCTTTAAGGAGGTAAGTATGGGTGGGGTCTTGGGAGGAGGAAATGCTTCCAAGTCCTCGGAGTTGTCCTCCACTATGTTGACAGGTTATCTTGAAGCAATTGGGCCAAGAGTCTGATACAGATCATTCTTTACCTTAATGACTTCCCCAGAATGATGGTGGTGAGAGTCCAGGGAGGTCTGACTTCTCTTCAGATTCTTGGTTCACAGGGCATACACCTGAGGATCCCAGCTACTCAACTCATTCTGTTACATTGCTGGCATGTGAGATGCCCTTCCATCCCCGCCCACTGATTCTCTTCAAACATTGGAAGTCTTTAAGTGTTAAGGGCTCTGGGTTCAGATGCTGGGGTGAGGCCTGGTGAGCAGGAGGACACAGCATCCCTCCTGTGCAGGCTTCATATCTGCATGGCTTTCCCCTGCTGTGGCTCATACTTCCTGCTGGGACTGTTTAATGCTCTTTCTTTTGTATGTATGTGAGAGGAGTAGAGCAGAGGTAAGGTATGAATTTTTAGGATAAAATAATACTGCTGTCTTGAGAAATGTAGGCTGTAAGAACAAAAATGAGAGAAAAGGAATCATTTGCCTGTTTTCAAAGGTAATCAGGTAAGGTTTTCCTGGTTTCCCTCCTCAGCACTTTGTAACCGTTTAATCATGCTTGTGACCGTTGTATATCCTTCTTTTATCAAAGGTTCTAATGTCACTTCTCCAGGTTATAAATTCTATGTGATATTTGCATAGTTTTATATCAAGAAAGATCACATAGGTAGCCAGTCACTCCTTACAGGGTATATTGTATTGTTTTCCCCTTACTTATGGACTTATGTATAAAGTTTATTTTTATATTTGTCGTATTTCCTTATGAGACAATCTCTGGGCCTCATGTTCAGTTGAAGGCTGGAAGCCTCTGAGCCCAGACATTGAAGCTGGCTAGCAAACTTAAAGAGCTCATCTCTCCCTGGAGCTGGCACCCCAGCCTCCACCCCAGCACCCTCCAAGGTTCTAGCCCCAGCTTCCACTCGATCTCTTCATCAGCTACACCATTCGCCTAGTTAACTTTTGCTCTTTAATCCTCACGTGCACTTCAGTGACCGAGCTGTTCTATGCCAAGCCCCCTTTTCACAACTCTGGTATATCTACTGCAGACACAGTACAAGTGTGCGGGTTGCACACTGACTTTGCCAGTTAGTCCCATGCCGCAACATGAAAACAGCTATGCTAGCACCTGGAAGGCACAGACAGGGAGACCACAAGTTCAAGGGCTACACAGACAGACTTGGTCTCAAAAAACAGCCAAGCAACAACCAACAAACCAAAATAAGACATGATGTGTTTAATTTGTAGAATTTGGAATTTTCTTACATTTAAGAATGAAGTTGTAACCATTTGTGGCAATTTTACATTTCCTAGGACATTGATTAGTGAAATATTTATCAGTTTCACACTTATCATTTTCTTTTCACATTTTGGGACAAGATTTTTCAGGCCCACCCCATTCCTTCTTCCCTCACCTTTGACTGAGCTGAGGGAAAATCATTTTAGGAACAGTATGTGGTAAAGAAGGGGTGAGTGTCAGGTCTGCCTGGCTCCAGAACTTGCTTTGTAATCATTAAGCTTCATGGTAGCTATTAAGCCATCAAGACTGTGTGACCTAAAACTGCAGTTCTTTAAAGGAGAAATTTGTAGAGAAATATTTTCATTTATCCAACCAGAAATATGTTCAGATTAGCACTATGTCCTTAATCAAATGACCATTCCCCAAAGAGAATGATTTAGGCACCCATAGCCCCTGTTACAGAGTGGTGCAGCTTTCCTTTGGCACCCCCGGGCTTGCTTGCTGTGACATAAGCAGGTGAGAAAATGGACTAATGTCTCTCTTGTTACCCCCTGAAGGTGAGGATCTGGAACCGCACCAGAGAAAATGCGGAGAAGTTTGCAGACACAGTACAAGGGGAAGTACGGGTCTGTTCATCTGTGCAGGAGGCTGTGATGGGTGCTGATGTGATCATCACGGTCACCATGGCAACGGAGCCCATTTTATTTGGTGAATGGGTGAAGCCAGGGGCTCACATCAATGGTAAGTAGAGAGGCTTCCTGAGCCACAGGCAGGTGATGGACATACTCCTCCCTAGACTGGGCCAAGGTTCTATCTGCAGAGTTGGTTTCCTCATTATACAACAGAATGCCCAAATTTTTGTTTTTTCTTTGAGTCTATATATCCCAACCTGTGTCTCACAGGTGTTGGCGTGACTGGTCTGTACCACCACTCTGGGGTGAATCTTTTGTTTTTAACACTTCACTTAAAATCTTCCCCCAAAATTATAATATGCAAGACATTTAATAACATTTAATAAGACATATAGATGCTTTTAAATATGTGCAATGGGATGTGGGGAGGGGAAGGGATTCTAAACATAAGGACACTTGGGACCTGTGAAGATCTTCATATAACCTTAGAGATTATAACAAGAGCTAGGCTATATCAAATACTATTACAGGTGTGTGTGTGTGTGTGTGTGTGTGTGTGTGTGTGTGTGTGTGATATATGTGCTGTATGTATATGCATGTGGAGGCCAGAGGTTGACATTGGATGTCTTCCTCGGTCACTCTTCACCTTATATTTTGTTACAGGGTCTCTCATTGAACCTAGTTCTCACTGATTAGCTAGACTGGCTGGCCAGAAAGCCCCAGATATTGCCCATTTCTGCCCCCCATCCCCAAGCAGTACAGATGTGCATGACCACACCACATTTTTTACACAGAAGCTAGGAATTCTAACTCAGATCCTCATGTTTACACAAGTACTTTAGATTGAGCCATCTCTAAATTATTAATATATTATGTCATTTAATCCTTACAGTGGCCTTATGGGATAGGAAACAATAATTATCATAACTCTTATTTTATAGGTGGGTAAACCAAGGCAAGGAGAGTAGCTTTCAAAAAGTCAGAGAGTCTTGGGGGCAGGGTTGAATTTTGAATTAAATAGTCTATCCTCAGAGCCTAAGCACTTGAACAATACTTAACATTATCTTCCAGTAAGAAGACAGGCCGGGCAGGGCATGGTGGTGCACACCTTTAATCCCAACACTACGGAGGCAGAGCTAGGAGGATCTCTGTGAGATTGAGGTCAGCCTGATCTACGTGGTGAGTTCCAGGCCAGCTGGGGCTACAGGGAGACCCTGTCTCAAAAAGACACCGCGCCCCCAAAAAGAAAAAGAAATTTAAAAAAAGACTGACTTCTGGTGAACCAAGCAAGCAAAGAACAGAGGATTTGAAGGTGGTAGCAGAGCTCTGTGATTTAATGACAAGTGCATGGTGTGAACGTAGAAGCTAAGAGTTCTGCACGCGTGGGCAGATGAGCAGGCAGGAGCCCAGTCAAGCAATCATGCATTCACTCATGTTTACTGAATCCCTACCACATGCCAGCCATTGTTCTAGTGCTGGAGGATGCCACAGTAAATCAAACATCAAGGTCATGACTTTCCTGGTGCAGTGCAGGAAGACAGGCAGCAAATAATACTTCCGTAGTTTCTGTTTATGATGAAAGAAGCAGAGGACAGTGGGATGGAGCCTGGTAGTGGAAGCAGGAGGTGGAAGTGATGATAGAGCCTTTGCATCAGTTTACCTGAAAAGCTGCCTGGGGGTAGAGGAGGACTTGGGTCTGTGACCTGAATGATAAGGAAGAGCCAGCCATGCCAAAGCTGATGGGAGGGCATTCCGGGAAGACAGAAGATGACATGAAAAGACCCCAAAGGGGAAGTGAACGTGGTGCATTTGAGGACCAGGCCAAAGGGAACTCAGGCTGTCCGTCTTCAGGAAACTGATGTCATGTCTCAGGTCCAGGGAGATGCTTAGAGACAGTTTATTGACAGGTAAGAGGTGGATCAAGGTGTGCTTTTTTCTACATCAAAACTGTGTCTGGAAGGTCTTAAAAATCAAGAGGACTAGTTCTTGGTGAAGTGTACTCCCAGGGACAGAGTTGAATCTTCTTTTTAGATAATTTAAAGGTTAAAACAACATATTGTCATTTCACAGTTTCTGTGGTTTGGGAGTTGAGGCAGGGTTATGTCAATCCTTTCCTTAAACTCTCCAAGGATGGAATCTGTGTTCTCTAGGCTATAATTTCATTTAGGGTCAGGGGTCCTCTTCCAGGCTCAGGTGGTGTGCCAGGATTCAGTCCCCGTGCTATAGGACAGAGGACCCTGCTATTGGAGGATATTCTTAGTTCCTGGAGACCTTCTACCTTCCTTGCTACATGGACCCACCATCTTCAAGGCCAGTTACTGCAAGGCACCAAATCATTGCCTCACTCCAGAAAGGGGTGACTTGATGTGGGGTCAAGTTGTCTCTCTTTTCATTTGCCTGGTCTAGAGACAGAATCACTTTATGTGTTCACAGAGGACCCAAATATGCCTACTTAAAGTGTTAAAAGTACAGACAGCAGTGAAACACCAGTGACAGGTATTAATAGCTTATACACAGTTCAGTTGAAAGGTAAGCCTGACACAAACATCCTCCACACTTCCCTACTCCCATCCCCATATCCCATGCATCCCATCAGCTTGTCTTCAGACCTTCATTCTTTCTAGCCCCGCTGAATCGAGGCCAAATCCTGATCTGGGTCAGACCCCTTCTTTGCTGTTTGGCCCGCCTCCAACTGCCTGAGTGGCCTCACACAGCCCTTTGGGTTTGTCTTGCTCACAGGCACTGGCTGTCTGTGGGGAAGCAGGGCAAGGAGGAGGGGTAGCCCAAGGAACTGGAGGCTTTTTCCCATTGCCTTATGATTTATTTACAAGCTTCATTAACTAGTATTTTTGTTCTATAGAATTCCCACTCACAAACAGCCTTCATGACAGACATTTTTTCATCACTCTCTTTGGAAATTAGAACCCAGGAGAACAGTAGGAAAGAGAACAAGTTGAGAAACTGGAAGGCAGTGGAAGAAGGCACAGAAATGCTGCCTGATATTCAGATAAGGCTTTGTAGCATTTTCAAAGACTAGCTAGCTACCCTGGGGCTGGATCCCTTCAGCTTTGTTTGGACCATAGAGAAATCAAGAGAAATCAAGAGATAACATATGCAAATAGGTTTCCTGTTACTCTATATACAATGGCGGGGCGGGGCGGGAGCGGGGTGTCTGGTAATATGTACACACATAGTAGCTGTCAGCTGGAGCTGGATGATGACAGTCCCTTGGAGAAGGACACAGTCTCTTCTCTGCATCCAGGTCTGCACCATTTCCAACCCAGTGCTTTTGTTGGCTTTGGTCTTTCACTACCTGCCTGGCTCTGAAAGCATTTGGTTGTAGCCTGTGCATTATCCTGTGTCTCTATAGCAGGAGGCAAGATGTGTTGGATCCATTGTTCCAGGCTCTGCAGAGAACATCAAGGCTCAAGGTCTGAGAAAGGGCCAGTTTTCTTCTTTTTTAAAAAAAATTATGTTTATTTATTTTTCTTTTTTGTATTTGTGTGTTTTGCCTGCATATAAGTACACCCATGAGTGTAATGCCCTTGAAGGTCAGAAGAAGGTATTGGATCCCGTAGAACTGGAGTTACAGACAGTTGTGAACTGCCATGTGGTTACTGGGAACTCAACTGGGGTCTTCTGCAAAAGCAGCCAGGGCTGCTCTTAACCACTGAACAATCCTGCCAGTGATTTTAAAAATCAATCTCTCTCTCTCTCTCTCTCTCTCTGTGTGTGTGTGTGTGTGTGTGTGTGTGTGTGTGTGTGCTCACGCTACCATACATGTGTAGAGGTCAGAGGACAACCTTGGGTATCCATTCTCACCTCTCACCTTGTTTGAGGCAGGGTCTCAGTTGTTCAACTCTGTGTACACCAGGCTAGCTCATTCGTGATGTTCCAGGAATTCTTTTTCTGCCTCCCTGCTCCCTTAGGAGCACTGGGATTACAGATGCACACTATCACATTGGCTTTATATATGTTCTGGGGATTCAAACTCAAGTGCTTACATTTGAATGGCCAGTGCTTTACCCTCTAAGCTATCTCCCCAGCTTGTTTTCTTTTGTCAAGACAATCTTAAGTCAAAGCTTCCTCTGCCTTTTCCTCCTTGCCTCCCTTCCTCCTCTCCTCCTCCTCATACTTTTTCTCCTCGTCCTCTTCCTTCTTCCTGAAGTACTGAGGATGGAACCTAGGGCCTCATACATGCTAGACAGATGCCATACCACTGAGCTACAGCCCCAGCCCTCCCACTTTTCTCTATTATGGTTTCTCTGTGACCTTGACACTGGGCTCTTTTGTCATGAGTTAGGAGAAAAGGCAGTTTGGGGTGAAGAATGGGAAGGATTAGAGAGCAAGCCCACAGAAGATAAGGAGCACGGAGGGTCTGTGTTTTGTGATGGGTGCAAAGCATCACTTCCAACAAACAGAATAGGCCCTCAGGTGAAGCTGTGGTGTTCTAACAGACCTAGAGTCACCGATGGCGTGCGTGGCCAGATCTTCACTCTTCAGAGTTTTAATTTGTACATCTGTGAAATGGAGTCAGACATGGAAGAGTACTTACGAGATCAATAAAGAAGGTAAATGTAAAGTAGAACAGACAGTA